AAAACTTATTTGCATGCTAATATATATATTTATATTGTTTTCGTTACAGGTGTTTTTCTTCATCTCCCTAACCCTGATATCCCAGCATGCCCCACAAGAGACTTCTCATTGGACAATCCACCATCTGGTACTGATTGGTTAACTGTCATCGATAGAGGTATTTGGTCGCTAAATGCAGAGCAGAGAATTGTGTTCACTAATAATCAGGTATGTTTGTCCTTCTTTTTGACTGGTGACCTGCATACAAAAATGACCAACTCTGATTGACAAAAAGAAAGAAATTGTAATTTTCTGGAACTATAAATCATTTACAACTTTAAATGTCTCATTCATGTCATCTTTGTTGTTGATATTAGTATTAGGTTATCATAACAGTAATTTTTAGCTCTACTGTTGACTTTGTTGAGCGAAGCTTATCATATGAGTGATTGTTCATCATCTTCTTTTGTTGTCCAGTGTCCGCATCAACTTTTTACATTTTTGACTTATTCTTGAAAACTACAAGTCTGATTGCTTTGATTCTCGGTGTATAAAATCAGGTACTACAGGCGGACCTCTCTCATATTTGTTAATTTTCTAATGATATCTTTAATTCACTAATTGAAATGTGCATTGCTAAGAGCGGAGATATCTCAGTCAAGAAGCTGCTTGTTTACCATTTTCAGTAATGAAATAAATAAATCACCAAGTGAATATTTGATCCTCTGAGTAACAAAGTCAACTTTAGTCACCATCCACAAAATAGTTCCATTTATAGTCTGCTCTTTTCCACAAATTTTTTTAATAAAAAATAGAAGCAATGTTACATTTTGTCTGTTCGGTACAAAATTAAGATTGTGAAATATTTACTCTAATTTGAGTGAGAAAAAAGCTTGGTCGAATTGTTAACATGGGGTGGTTATTAAAGCCTTTTTATTATTTTTAGGTGTCATATGCCGATAATGGTTTGTCAATCACCATGACAAGGGATGTTAATAACGAAGAAATGAAGTCAGCTGCTGTATCTTATGCCAACTCGGATGTTCATGGAGGAGGAAAATATCAGGTACAGGGTTTGTTGCAGTTTTTAGCCTGTTAATGAAGTTCCATGTATGTGAAGGGAAAATGTCTGTCTCGTTGTTGGTGTTGTCATCCCTGTTTTTCCTGTGCAATTGTATCAGTATTGTAAAATCTGTTTTAAAAGCCGCGGCTTCTATTAAAAGGGTACAATGCAACAGAGGGGATGCGGCTTCTATTAGAGCATCTACACATATGAGAAATAGTGAATTTTTGGTTCTCAATTGTTCAAAAAGAACAATTAGGGATGCGGTTTATAAAATAGATTTTATGGTAAATGATGCAACTGGCTGTTTCTCTCTGTACAACTAGTAGTAATCTCTATGGAAACAGTGCATGCTGCACGTTTGTCTTTGTACAAGTAATTCTGGACAGCCAATCATTTTTAATTTCACTCAGTTCTCTCTGTACAATAAGTAATATACTGGTGTTACACATTGTTTCACATGAATGAACTCTCATGATTTAATTTAAGCAAAATATCACAACATAAATGTAAGAGTAATCAAATAAAAAATACATAATTATGTAGAAAAAAAAATGTCAGTTACAAGCTAAACCAAAAAACTGATTACCTGACTCTGGACTCAATAAAATATCGTTCCCTCTCCTGATCAGTATCATGTTATTAGTCTGAAAACAGTCTGTCCGTCCATTCAACCCTCTATCCATGCGGAGTCATATCTCAGACACTTATTGTTCGACCTCATTCAAAATTTACACAAAAACAATACATCATGCTTACAGATGCATTCGTTTTATTTGGTGATCGGAACAAAAAATGGCCGACTGGTGGCCAATTTGGACATAAAAATTGTGATCAAAATTGTGATGACTGCTTTTCGAAAATTAAAACACATATAAACTTTTTTTTTATTATTAATTTTTGCTTTTTCTATTTTATACCTTATAAGGGTTTTAATGCTGCACAACCATACATGACATTTAGGTCATCAAATTGCAAAATTTAAGAACTGCTTGATAAAATTAAAAACAAACATGAAAATACATGTAAAAAAAATATTTTTGTTTTTATTTAATAAATCATTACTTGTTCAATAAAATGTATCCTTATATAAATTGTAATATGCTTGTATGTATTTCAGTATGGTTAAAAGTACATTTATATCTTAGTATGACTTTGTTCAATTTACATTTATTTTTACCATATGACATAATATGATGTTTTGCCCATTCAAATAATCTGGATAATACACCTGCACCCTTAAAATGCCTTCCAATTCATTTCTTTCTATCAATCAAAGAGGTAAGGGTTTAAGGAGGCAGTTTAGCTTCTTGATATACCTGTACATTTACCATGGATTGTAACTTTATTTGAGTGCAAAGGTACATATATTCATATCTTGAAATTTGTGTTTTATTTTGCTTTTTAAAACACATATTTACAGGTTGACATATTGGCAGCTGGTGGTGAGACCCATGCCGTATCCAGTTTTATATTCTGGGATGGTCCATCTGGTGTTGTCGGCGATTTCAATGCACCGTTGGGAGAGAAGAGTTGGCAAGATAGTGTGATTGAAAATAAAGATTGTACATGTTGTGAAAATGATAATATGACAGAGAATTCAACCCAGGAAACAGTTACATCTTCTCAAAGTATGTATGCTCTTATAAAATAGGAATATAGCACATCAAATGACTATTTGCTATTATTGAAACATCAGACCAACTGTCAGGTTCAACAGATTTATTTGATGAGAGTATTCGTAGCAATTCAACCCAGGACAGTCACATCTCTAATATGTAGTAACTGTTATAAAAAGGGGATGTGGCATATCATATCATGAAGCTTTTCAAAACCACATGTACACTAGAATTCAAATATCATTATTTGAGCCTTTTATTTTCCAGATATTTGCGAGTGTAATTGCACGGCATACTTCAAACAAATCATCGATAGAACAACACCAGTTGTCATGTCTACTGATGCATCAACAGTAACATCCAATCCATGGCAAGTCATAGAAGATGTGCTTCCTGGCAAAACATACACCAGAGATGAAAGTATCAAGAACAATGCCCAGACAGCGATAGGACTCCAGCTACATTCAGGTAGATATGAATAGACTTACATGTACATATAACACATTAGTTCATTTAGCTGTGATTTGCGATATTTGGCGTTGCATGTTTGTGTTATGCAAGTCTATGGGAGAAACCATAACTCCTCTGATTCAATAAAAATCGTAATATCTGAAAGTAACAAATTTAATGACATCAAATGTATCAGAAATGACTAAAATACCATTACAAAGAATAATGACCAATACTAGTAGAGCTATGGACCCACATCTATGGTTCATGGAGAGAACTAATACAAAACTTTGCTATCAGACAATGACATGTAGATACTTTTGGAAAAACCACACACTGCAGACTAATCTGTTTTAATATTTCTAGAGTTTTAGGTTAGTTCTATAAACTTCGTTAATGAATTAGACTGTTCATACATTGTGTATCTCATCGAGCAGAGCTATATTAGTCACCGAGCTTCTAGTTTAAAAGGCTAAACCAAAATTGTTATATGCCTCAAATATCCTCAGCAAATAGAAGTTTTTTCAAAGGTTTCTTTGATTCGGACATGCCTTGTAATATACAGACCCGCCAGAAAGTATTTACGCACCTGTCATTTGATCGTTTTCGTAACTAAAAATAACAATTCCGGGTAACATGATGTGTTGACTTTAAAATATACTAAATTTAAGAAGAACTAGTGCATTTTAGTCAAAATAAAATGGTTGATTTGTGTTTAGTTTTTTTGTATGTAGACGTTTTTTCAGTGAGCGAAAATCGCCATGGTTAACTCTATGGGAGCGCGCTCATTTGCATATCATTTGCATCTCATTAAAACTTTGGGCCATAAAACATGTGCGATAGTCGTGTCCTTTCTCATGCAAATTTGAACCAATTGAGAAGCTGAAATTATTTCAACACGCGCTTCTGGGCGGGAATACCTGTCAGTTGTAGTTCATGAATATTCCTATCGAGGTCATAGTGTCAGATACGTAATTTTTATTTACAAACATTGAGCCATGCTGAAAGTTAGGGAATTGTCAGAATTTACTAAAGGGAACATTGAAGCACTGTATACAGAAGGAGTGTCTAATAGGGAAATTGCAAGAAGACTGGGAATTTCTGAAGGCTCCATACGTTTCAACCTGCGAAAACTTTGTCTGCGGGGTAGTATGGGCAATTGTCGTCGATCAGGTCGACCAAGGCGTACAACGCAACGCGAAGACCGGCTACTCATCAGGTCTAGTT